GGGGGGGGGGCTTTGGGGCAACACCATAAACACCTCTGCAACTGACACTTACTAGTATTTCTGCAAGCCAACAACCAGTGCATCCCATAGTTTCAGCTTGCCATCCGGGATGATGTGAGCCAGCGCCTCCCAGTACTCCGAGTCTTTGGAGTCGTCCCGCTCTTCTGGGGCTATCTTCACTGGGGGGTGTTTCTCCCTGAAGCAGAAAGGGAAGAACAGCTGATGAGAGAGCACAGCTTGAACCTGATGCAGGCCTCCCTCCCCACAGCCTCAGATCTCCGAAGATTGGGCCACAGAGCCAGGTTTGGGACTGACTAGTAGCCCCTGGCCTCTAGTAAAAGCTGAGTTACTTTACTAGTCAAAAACTTGGTTCCATAACCATGTCTTTGTTCTCTTTCTAAAAGCCAGGAGGGAGGGCACTGATCTAATTTATTTATTTATAAGCTTTCTATACCGGCCTTCTCACATCAACGAGGGACTCAGGTCGGTTCACAACAGGAGATTCATAGACAATAATATAAAACATCACAGCCTCATAATACATTAATAGCCCCCGGTGGCACAGTGGGTTAAACCCCTGTGCCGGCAGGACTGAAGACCGACAGGTCGCAGGTTCGAATCCGGGGAGAGGCAGATGAGCTCCCTCTATCAGCTCCAGCTCCTCATGCGGGGACATGATAGAAGCCTCCCACAAGGATGATAAAACATCAAATCATCCAGGCATCCCCTGGGCAACGTCCTTGCAGACGGCCAATTCACTCACACCAGAAGTGACTTGCAGTTTCTCAGGTCACTACTGACACGACAAAATAATAATAATAATAATAATAATAATAATACATTAATACATAAAATACATTAAAATACAATCATACAATTACACAAGGCCAGGTCGTCAGAGTGAAATCACAATTCATCACCATCCGTCAGTGTGGTCAAGAGTTATTGACTCAGTCATCATTCTGCAAATGCCATATTCCAAAGCCAAGATTTTACCAGCTTTCTAAAAGTCAGGAGAGAAGGGGCAGATCTAATCTCCAGCGGGAGAGAGT